AAATCCAATTTTTGGATTTTTTTGTGGTGTTATAATAAAAGTTTTAATTTTTTTGGTGTTATAATCAAATTTCTGACAATTTTGTGGTGTTATAAGTCAAAAAATCCTAAAAATAATGATATAAATGGTCAAATTAGTGCATAGGAAATTGTGAAAGTCAGATTATTATTGGACAGAGAGTTAATTTTAATCAAGGTGAAGTATTGGGTGGAATGGAGTTCTTTGGTGGAGCTAAAAGTCTTCTTTTTAGTCAAGTTGTTGGGGTTTTTTTGTATGCCTCTATGGCATGATGATTGTGCACTGCATTGTACTTTTATCTGTTAAATTTCTGATCTTGTTTGGATTTAGGGTCCCAAATGATTTAGGGTCTACATGAATCATAGCAATAACAACAACGACAACAAAGCCTTAGTCCCAAATGATTTAGGGTCTACATGAACTGTCATGAGGAAGCATCCGAAAGGAAAAGGGCATAGCAAAATAATCGATTGAATAAAAATTGGAAAAAGTGTACAAGTGAAAAACAGAAAGTAAACAAATAAAATTTACGAGAGTTGTAAAAGAGTGGTAAAGGATACAAAGGAGAGGAAACACATGTGAGCTACCTCTCCAATGGAGCCTATGTAGGAGAGGAAGCATTCGTTGCATGTGCTTGCAAATGTTGCCATAGCCTTAGCAGTTTCTAAGAAAATATTCTATCCAAGTGGACTTCCAATGTGGCAGGAATATCATTGTTTAGTGAAATTTACAGTTGGGGTTATTTTAAGGGGACTCCTTGCTTAGCTTTCAGTTTGAGACTTGGAGGAATCAGGTTATTTTTTCTTGGTTACATGTTTCGTAGTTGTATTGCTTGATCTGGGTGCTTAGGTTGTTCAGTACCAGCATGTACTCCTTCAGACTCTTTTGACCGATATATGGTTAGATGACAGTTAAAAAGTTACTTTTAAAACTATGTAATTAGCTTTTTATAGTTTTTATTTTATTTTATTTTATTATTTTTTTTTTTTTTGGGGGGGAGGGGGAGGGTGGGCGTGGAGTGGGAATGAGTTGGTTGAACACTTGATCTTGTTTGATGAGCATTGTTTCTTACTCAGAGAAGTGAGGATTAATATCTGTTGAATGGTCTCCAGCCAAACCGCAGGGGGGTTGGGGGTTGAGATATTAAAGAGGAAAATATAAATAAAGTATATTGATCTCCAATTTGTTTTATTTTTTCTTGGCAGGGAAGCAAGAAATTCCTTGTTTTGAGAGAGATACCTGAAGATAAAGTTAAGAGCATACTTTCTTCCAAAGATTCTCTTGCTGCTTGTGATATAGCAATATTTGTCTATGACAGGTAAGTGTTGGTTTATTTCAAAGAAACACTGTAGCTGCTTTTAACATAGAAGTTACTCATTATTTTGTAACCTTTGTTGTGATTTGCTGACGTGGAAGATTATGACAGTTCTGATGAATTATCATGGAAAAAGACAGCTGAATTGCTGGTTGAGGTTGCTGGCCATGCAGAAGATATTGGTTATGAGGTTCCTTCCCTTATTGTAGCCGCTAAAGATGACCTGGATCCATATCCTATGGCTATCCAAGATTCTACTCGGGTAGTTCTCTTTCCGATAAATTGTATAGAATTGTTGATCATCTAATTGATTTCTGAATTTTTTTTTTCTGTACTAATGTGGGTTGGGCACTGTGGGAGTATTAATTACTTTGATTTTTGGCCTATTTTCTCTGGGTCTCTCTGAGATAAACTTGTAAATATATCTCCTCTCACAATATAATCTTTTTCTTTTATTTTTTAAATAAAAAAAGAAAAATAGTAAAGTGGCACAGAAATAATTGTATAACATTGTGATAGGAGATAAACTGAGAGAATCACTTGAGTTTCCTCATTATCTCTGCCTTTCCTTTCTACTAGTAACCTTTTTTGGGAAATGATATCCTGGGTTGAATATTATCTCTTGTTGAAGCAACAGACTTAGGTACTGTAGGCTGTGGAAATGATTATTTTCTTTCCCTCCTGTCTATAGGATGCAATACTCTATGTTTTTCTGTTCTGCAAGGAAACTAACAGTAAGGCACCAGCTGCAGTGGACTGGATGGAAGTAAATAGTATGATGGGTTTATGCACTCAAACTATGTGTTTCCTCCATACTTAGCTATTCTCATTTGGCTAAGTCCTTTAGAACATCTTGATAAATTTCGGGAAATTCTAATGCTTCCTTTTAAGGCGACAGAATCCATTAGGGAAATTTAACAGATCAAAAGGTAGATCAACATCCACTTGAAAAGTTTTGGTAGTTTCTGAACGTTTCAATATTTCTGTCTTTTATTTTGGGAGGGCTGGGGACTTGGGGGGTGTGGAGAGAAATATATTTTGGCTCAGTCCAGGGCCTTTTCTTGGGTATATTAAGATGGGAGACTGCCATTTTTTTTTGTGTTTGAATCCTTGATCTTACGTAACGACTTTAGGACCTCTTTATAATGTCAAGCAAGGTTTTCAACCGTATATTTACGTAGTGTATGGAATAGGCAGTAACCTTAATTTTATTAAAGTGGGCATAGTATGAAACAAGCAGCTTTCATTGTCACCACCTGCAAACCTTCTAAAAATTTTGTTTGGTTTCAAAAAGCACTATCTACTTCAATCTGAAAACAGTGCCTTACATACTTGTACAATATCTGAAAAGCAGAAATTTTTTTATCTACTGTTAGCCGGGATTTTGGAATCAATTATTTAATTTATTCTTATTTATTTTTATTTTTTATTTAATTTACAGGTTAGCCAAGATATGGGTGTTGAAGCCCCAGTGCCTATTAGTGCTAAATTGGGGGACTTCAATAATATATTCCGTAGAATTGTGAGCTCAGCAGAGCGTCCTCATTTGAGCATCCCTGAGACTGAAGTTGGAAGAAGCCGAAAGCAATACCATCGTCTTATCAAGAATTCTGCTATTTCAGTTGGAGCCCTCGGAGGTACTTTTAATGCCTTGATTCTTAGTAGGATAGTAATACGATTTTCCTGCATTGGCCATGTGACTCTTAGGCTTTGTATGGTTCAATAATAGTAAAGAAAGGGAAGAGAAAAGAAAGTAAAAGAAATGAAAGAATCCATATTTTCCAATGTTTGGTTTGATGGAAAGGTTGTGAATGAAATCTAAAATTTTTAATTTAACAGACCTTAATTTTCTCGTTCCTCCCGAATTTTGGGAGGAAAGGAGAGTGAAAATTTTGTGAAGGGGAGCTTTCCTTCCAATTCCCCTTTCATTCCCTATTGAATTCCACAGAATTTTGGAACCATACGACGGAACCAATAGATTTCCTTTCCTTTCTTTCCCAACCAAATAGGCTGTAAGTGTTCAGCCAGACTGCCAAAAAAAGAGAAAAATAAAACTTTTTGAGTGCCTCTCGTGCCTGCACTTTTTCTATATGTATTAGTGGTGATGTTATTCCCTTTTTTCTATTTCTTGTAGTTACATGTCTAGCACAGTACTTTTTTTCAAGATTTCTACGTCCACTACCTTGACAAAACAATATACAAAAAGGAAGGCAACTTCTTTGTTATGGATATAATTATTTATAGCATGAAAAAGGAGCTTCTATTATGATGTATTTTCTACTCTATAGGATAAAACATAATCATATGGGATTTTGTTTGATTTGTCTTGATGTGTAGTTTCTAATATCAACTATAAATATTTTGTTATATTACGCAAGTAAAGATATTGAGGCTCAAAATTGCATTCAAGTTTGTGCAAAAAGGTAATTGGAACCATCTTTGAGTAATATAGTTAGCAGTAAAAGTCATAGATTGCAAAATTATTTCTTGACTTCCTCCATCCAGACATGCTTTTATGCTATCTTCTTAGAATCTCCAAATCTGAGGCATTATAGATGTTTCTAGATCTTGAGATGAGTTATATTATGTTATTCCTCTGGTTCACCGTGTCCTGAATGTTGTATTTCAGTTCAATGAATTCACTTTCAACTCAGCCTAGTGCCTTTAGTAAAGCTGTGTCTATGATGGGTGTTTAACTGACAAGGCTAATCTTCTTAAATGTTTTACTGTGTATCTCAATTGCGTGCAAGTTGCATTTGTTTTCCCTCCGTCTCTTTCACTGAACATGGTTATGTGATTTTTACTTCTACAGTTGGAGTAGGTGTTGTTTTTGCCGGATTGGCGGTTTATCGTGCCTACGCAGCAAGGAGAAACAGCTCCAACTGAGAAGATGAGATATTTCTTTCTCCTCGGCTACTGTCTTTGGGGCCTTGTAATGGGTGCTCTATGCCAGTCATTTATAGAACAACACCCATTGTTCTATTGTAGCTCTTTAAAATCTTTGGTAGGGCTTCAGGTTTTGATTTCTTGGATGCAAGGGTTTTCTGGTAGTGTATACTGTATAGTGATTTAATTTTAGTGTTATTGTGCACAATCTGTGCAATAAAAATTTTGCCAGAATACTAGTAATATATCTTTATATTGTTTGCACTGTCCAGTAGCTGTGTTGTGTTTCGTAGCAATTTAGATTTTGTAATCATCAGACGCAATCCAGTCGGAAATAAAATTGAACTTTCAGGGGCAACTTCAATGATAGGGCAGTTTTAACGCTTACTGCAGCAAGTTACCTTATCTGATGAATTATGTAAACTTTATCTAAACTGTACTTGAACTATATCTTATAAAAATTGACCTGATCTTTGTTTAATGCAACCGAAAAGCAATCAGCAAGATGATATGATCTGAATCTGAAAGTCTCAAACTAAATTTGATGTAAGCATCCGTTGGTACCTTTCAAAATTTATTGTTAGCATCTGGTATTGCCTTTTTAAGCTTTGAGAGTCTATCAGCTGTTTATCCATTGATTCATTGTGTTATTTTCTTGTACTGTATCTTTTTGCAAATTTAACTGTGATAATATAAAGAAGATAAATAACATATATTACTCGGCTGCCATGTCTTTGGCACCCAGTATACCATTAACAGCCTTTTGGTGAATGGGAAAGAGTGGAATGAAGACTTGTCTTAAATTGTGAATTTTGGTATGAAGATATAGATAACTGTCTCTGTCTGTGTGGATGAAGATCTTCAATCATCCCATATCTTTGAGATGCTAAATGTGTGGAAGTGGCTAAGCTATATGGCTCCACAGCTGTACCCTGCGAACTTTGGAGTACATTTAGACTTGTCTTTCTTCAACCAGCTACCTTTTAGGCCACAGGTTTGCATTGCCCGTTCATTGTGGCAGGTCCTCCTCTCACTTCCTGAGCCTGCTGCCTTCTCCAACTGTAGACAATACTGATCAAACGTCTCTACTGTGACATGAAGCTTGTAGTCGAGGCTGCATAGCAGCTTCAATTCTAGCTTGTTCATTTCTGATATACTTACGCCTCCAACTTTGGCAAAATGTGCGTTGTTGTAAGTCCTGCATTTTTGTTAAAGCATAAGTATCAAGATGTCCCATTGTTGTTTGTTCTTGATGAGAGATTCATGCACGTAGTAGCAGCTCGAATAACCAATTTTCTCTGCCTAATACTTCAATAGTATAGTTACAGTTTATCACCACATTTTGTTACTATAATTACTTTAGGGAAATGGAATAAATCACAGAACTATTAGAAAGGGGCTTCTTTCATAGCATCATGCTTTCGTTCATTTTCGGACAGATCAGGGAGTCAAATATTAGCAGTACATTATTAGTACTGAGTTTTGACTAATCTGATAAATTATGCTCTTAGCAAAGATGATTCACCTTCATAATCTCAGCAGTATATACAATCATTCAAGTTGGCAAAGATTAACAGGTACTTTTATTGTTGTAAAAAAAAAACAGGTACTTTTATGAGTTTTATCCATCTTAACCGACGAAAGGGCCAACTAGGCCAGTGTGTATAAGGTGACAAATCCGACGTCGGACTCTTAAACAACGACATACAGTGATACAGATACGGATTGGTTTAGTTTCACAGTTTTGTGACTGTTATTTTCCTTTCAGTGTCATTTTTAATACTTGTGTTTGCGCCCACATTCTTGCAACCTAGTGGTGGCATATGTGGATGAGGAGAAACTAGCCAAATCTCTCTATCTGGTTGCTTTCGAGTCTAGTGAACTCGGGTTTGAAATAGGTCAGTTTTCGGGTTTCTTTTGGATATTTGGGTTGAACACGCTAAAAGCACCACAAATCCACAAAAAAGATGAATATACTAATGTTTTAACACTCAAATTTGCTTAAAAAACAGTATTATCTAATAAGAATGTAGTATTGCATAAACAGAAATATAAAGAGAAAGACATAATCTAAAAAATGATGTTATAGTAGTAAAGACAATCATAAAATCCATGTTATAGTGTAAGTTGACTTACACGTCTTCAACAAACTTGGCAGCCACAAGAACCGAAGCAATGAGAAGGCGATGAGCATTAAGCGAAGTAAGATAACAATTTGTGGATTGAATGAACTTATCCATGTAAATGTATGCTACAACAAAGCAAGAAGGGCTACACTTGGAGTACTTGAACACGCGTTCCATGTACTGCCGGATGTTCAATGTAGGAGCTTTCGACCCATGAAAGATTGTCACACCATCTTTAGTTTTCGACTTCTTCAATAACTTGTCATTTTTGTGAATGTTTTTTTCAAGAACAGATGCTACTAGTGACACAATTTCAGGAGCTTTTTCGGATGCATCTTCAAGTAGTTGTGGTTTATCTAATAATCCTAGAGTTTTATATAGCTCTGAATTTCTACTCTTGGTGTTCAAAGTTCCCATAAAAACAATGTTTAAGACACCGAAAATTGGATTAATTTTTTTGATTCTTGAAGTGATTCAAAAGGCTTACCATTTTGAGGTTGGGGTATAAAGGCAAGTCATAGATTTGGTTCTCTAGTTCAAAAATTGAAAATTCCATCTTATCTCTCTCCCTCTCTCTTTTTTTTGTCCCTTTATTTATTAATTTAATTTATATTTTAAATTCTTTTTATATTTTTAAAATTTTGTTTTAACTTTATGCTTTCCTTAAAGATAAAAGGGGAATATCATGGTGTAATGACAAATGATTATTCCTCCTCCTTTGGACTATTCTTGGTGATGACTAACTCTAGAAAATGCTTTTGGATTTTTTTTTTTTAATTTTGCTCATGGAATGAAAGAGAGAAGGCCGAAAAAGCATAAGAAAAAGGTATTTCTTGATACAAGTGAAAAATGATTGTACCATTGATTTTGTTGTTCATACTTCTTTTCAGAGGAAATTACTGTCTTCATGTCTTCCTCACATAATACTCCCTCTATTGCTTTATAATTGCTCCATTTAACCTCAAAAATTCTCTTAAGACACAATAAATAATAAAATGGATAATTTTAGGGGACGGAGGGAGTAGGTCAAGACTTTGGTCTCCTTAAGTTTCATAAATAATAACACAAATTATGATAAATTAAGTTAAATAAAATGTCAACGAAATAAATAGTTTATTTTAGCAAAAAATAAAATAAGTTCAATAAAAAGTAGTTAAATCTCTATCAAATAAACCTAGGGGTGAGGTATAAAAATTACAGGGTACCAATGTACTCGGCAAGTGTAAAAGAACGGAAGAAGTATAATATATACATTTGTTCTTTGGACAGGTTTAATGCAAAACCATTTTTAGCTAGACTGTTTTTTGGGTAAAAATAATTATATACACCCGGGTGGAGGTGCACCCAAGAGTATTTTTTTGTTCATTTGATGATTAAAAGAGCAATAATTATAAAAATGAGCAAACAATATAACATAACAAACTCTCATTTTTAGGTCTTAAGAAAAACAAAAGATTTCCAATTTTATTCAATTCGGTCTCGGAGTGTCAGAATGTTGACGTACTCTGTAAGTCCGTATTAAAGAGAAGATTAACGAAAAGTTGAATGTTCAAACAAGATAGGTTTGAATGTTTGATAATATAAGATTAATACAAATAGGATTAGGCAAGTTAAAAGATCAAACAAGTTAAAAAAATTAAACTGAGCCTTGCCTTCCAGTGGGATTATGGAAGCATGTCCCCAACATATTGCAGTGTCACTCTTACACCTTGGCAACCTTGCTTAAGGAATAAAATTGCATTTACAACGTACGATCCCTACATTACTGAGGCACCTTACCGAGTATGAGAATTAGAGAAACAAGTACTCAAATTCTCCAATTTTCTTACTAAATAACAAGATAGGCGCCAATAAAATACAAAAATGTCACATAAATAACCATAATATATGTAGTCTCAAAAAAATATGATCAGAATATACATGGGGAGTCAAGCCACCAGTTGCTAACTCGCAGCACTGCCATCACTATATCTTTAACTATACTGCTAAAAGGTATGTGAAAAATTAGTACCTTCTACGAAAACCTCATTCTAGGTTTTTTGTATCTTTAAACTTCAAGATGTTATTTGTCTGATGATCAGTTCAATAGGGTTCAGCTAAACCTAATGGAATAGTCAAGAATCAAATAAATTATCATGATCTACAAAAGAGGTAAATCGGTCACCTTTCCTTGGTATGATAATCTGCAACACTGCATTCAAAACGAGGCAGCAACTGAGCACCATACATTACGGAGTATGTTGTCGTGAAATCCCCAGCAATTCATTTGAAATTCTACAGTCGCTTTCGTTTTCTGTGACTCTGTTGTGCAGCAGCATTACGGTTATCATTATCAGAGGTGGATAGAAGAGCTGAAGTTGCTGATGATTTTGGAGCAGAAGTTCTGGTTTTTCTGGAAACCCATTTCAAGGGAAGACTATTCACAACAGTGCCAATATCGCTTGCACTAGTAAGTTTAACAAGACTTTGTACTTGATTTAGCATTTGTTGCGTCAATGCCATCGCCTTGTCCAGTTCGATTGAATCATCCATGGGCTTTCTCAATAAAGTCGTTAGTAAGTCTTTGAATGAATGGAAGGACATGGAATGCAAGCCCTGGCGAATTTCACACATCATATTGACCTTGATAACATGTTTGCAAAGGTTACCTTGCAAAGCCCAGGCACAATCACAGAAAGCAAATTCTGATCCAGGATTCCAGACTATATGAGACACATTATTGTCCTTTTGACTTTGCACCTTGGCAAAAGATTCGTCATTATCATGAAAGCAGACAGCGGTATCAGGGATTTGCAATGCACGTTGCCATGACGTTGAAGATATGTACGCTTCCTTCACATCTTTGAAAGTGTCGTGTTCATCAGAATAGCGATCCAACCAGTAACTAGAGTGCAGCTCAGCAGTCAATTTGTGCACTAACCAATCAACTCTCTGAAATGCACCTAGGTGTGAATCATCATAAAGTTTGCTTTTCAATTTGATATGATAGGCTTCAATAGCACCAGCAGCTTCCTGGCTTGCAAGTGGAACACTCTGCATTATAGACAGCCACATCTCTAACAAAAACAAGAAATCTAGGGTAAGCTGAAGAAAGAAGATACAACTTATTATTTACAATTGGAAGTGACGTAGAATCAAGTCAAACCTAGCTTCGGCAACCAGAAATCTTTAAAATACAGCATGAATGCATTTTGATTAGTGAAATCTTGTATGAATTTCTCAATAGCAACTGCGGAATCCAGTCCCTTCCAAATGCTGCTAACGATATCACCAAGACGTTTGAAAATCTCCCTTCTAACTTCTGTTCCACTGCATTTTTTCACTATATTTCTAAGCCATGCTCTGCGGACACGCCAAGGAGAAAATAACACGGGACAGCAGAACATATCCCTGCAACAGGAGTAAACAGTAGGTTCAGTAAACAGTATATATAGGTTTCCTAAACAAATGTATAGTATGAGTAGCCTGCCTTATAGGCTCCAATTCTGCCGCCGCATCATCTATCACAAAACCACTGACCTTCCATCCAGTATCAACTGCACGTATTCGACCAACTAGAGCTTTCATCCACTTTGAAATATCTGGCTTAGCAAAGCTTGGAGTGATGATCCATGCCACAGGGAGTGCATGCTGTCTTGAATCAAACACAAGAAGCGTGCACAAAGGGTACTGGATGTAAGCAATAGCATAGATAAGTACCATGGAAATAGCATATCCAGTGATTTCTCTATGGAAGCAGGGCTTAGATACGCAAAAAAGAATATTAATGGGGTTCTGAAAAAATAGTTTCAACAATAGCATATATTATCTTACTCTAAGTCTCTTTAACCCAAAGGTTGAGTCTGCTGCAATGATGCTGTGATGCCCAAACCGTATCATCTGTTGCAGTTGCCACTCAGTTTGAATCCCCAAAATAAATGGATCAACCTCAGATGAATCCTGATAGAAGAATACAGACTTCTTATTTCGCTCAACCCACAGCCGGACACTAGCTTGGTCATTTAGGTCTAATTCATGAGTAGATCTTTTAATAACCATTCCCAGTTTCTGAACATATTGAGATGCTATCCTGCCAAGTTTTGCATCAGCATCACAGTAACGTTGAATCCCTTCGAGGTGTTTCTGCACTACATTCTCTTCAGGGATTCCAAGGTAAATCATCGACATAGTTTGTTGCTGAATCTCAGTGCCAATATACGGTACTTTCTTAGCACCAGGGCCTATGGCATCTCTATCAAGAGCACCATGGCAGGGAAAACCAGATTTGTTCACATGACGTCGCTCATTATAAATGATAAGTGCAAGTGTCGGGCATGCATACAAACGCTTCACTGCAAAGTGACATGTACAACCTCTCATAGACTGTGGTCTGGCAGCACGATTTCGGGTATTCAGACGATACCGCCGACTAGGTAATATATCACCACCCTCTCCATAATTTTCGGGTCCAAATGAGCACCAATATCTGCAATTCGGGAGGGAGAATTACACATCAAAGTAAAATATTCATCACTTTTAAAGTCTTTTAATAAAAATAAATGTACTTACAGCTTATATTCCAAATATTCATCACTTTTGTACTCCTTTAAGCTCCCTCTCCTACGTTTCCTTCCTCTCTCAATATGAAATTGAGTAGGGAACTCCACATTAGAACATTCCCCAAAGATAAAGTCTTCAACTCGATCATAATGAATTTTAGCTACTTCGTCATGGTGATCAGCAGTGCCAAACTTTGTCCACTTCAGATCAGCAGATGAAAACATCCCTTCTGGTGGATCTTGCACTGATATATCTTCAATAGATTCAATAATTTCCATTTGCTATCAGCTACCAGAAAAAATCGGGAACTTCTTCAAGAAGATCAATGCTTAACACCGTCTTCTGCAATGTTCATCGGGTGATCTGTTATGGAACCAACTTTATTCTTTTGTAAAATAAACATAGAGGAACATAGAGATTAAATATGGGAGATATAGTATCATAATCCTGTCACCACGCTAGAAAGTAAAGCCTCCATGGGAAAACCATATACTTCCCAACAGGAATATTAAATACCAATTTAGCACAATGGAGAGACAATTTGAGACAATCATAGAACACAATCCTCAAAGAAAAAGCTGATTAAAACTCCCAATATTCAACTGGATGTTATCAAACATAAGCCATCAGCTATTCTAGAAAACTTCATCTATGACAAAAGGTCAAAATACACGTGTACACAATCAAACTCGAGATAGAAATCAGTCCCATTTCACGCGTTCCTCAATGATATCCTAGGGCACGAAAATCTCCAATTACATTTAATTGGCAGCAGCCCCATAAGACTAGTAACTTATTGAGGGTCACATCTGTAATTCTGTACACTTTTCTAGGAAGCTTAGCAGGAATTAAAAGGTTCAAGTAAACATCAACGTACGATACGGTGCCAAACAAACATGCCTGGCTGCGCGCCAAGCTCAACTCAGCTGAGCTATTCCCCCACCCCGTCCCTGAGCCAGGCAGGAAGAAGAGATCTAACATTAAAGGGTTGTGCAATACATTAACAGCCAAATTTGATTCAATTATCAAACACATCACATAATATTAGGGATATGTGATTCATTTAGGCTCATAATTTTGTTTTCTAGCAACATAATCGCTGGTTATGATCTTTCATATATTAGTCTTTAGAACCAATAGTTGAGATTTTCAAACCCTACACTTACTGCATTGACAAATTAAATAAAACCCTAGATTGTAAAATTGATATGATGATAACTAAAAGAAACAACTTACCCCAGAAGCTGCTGAGAACCAATACAACTCAGAGAACGTCAAGTGCAATGTTGAGTGCGCTTCAATAGAGAAGGAGGAGAGAGAGGGGAGCAAGAGGAGGAGGCAACTAGGCACCTGCCCTGCCTAGTTGCCACTTATTCCCGGCTCAGGGACAGGGACGGGGTGGGGGGAAAAAGCTGATTAAAACTTCCAATATTCAATTGGATGTTTTTAAACATAAGCCATCAGCTATTCTAGAAAACTTCATCTATGACAAAAGGTCAAAATCCAAGTGTATGCAATCAAACTCGAGATAGAAATCGGTCTCATTTCATGCGTTCCTCAACGATATCCTAACCTCCTAGGGCACAAAAATCTCCAAGTACATTTGATTGGCAGCAGCCTTATAATTTATTGAGCTGAGGGTCACATCTCTACTCTTTTCTAGGAAGCTTAACGCCTTAACCTGGTTAAAAGGTTCAAGTAAACACCAACGTACGATACGGTGCCAAACAAACATGCCCGGCTGCGCGCCAAGCTCATCTCAGCCGAGCTATTCCCCCCACCCCGCCCCCACCACACACACACCAACAATGCTTCCCGTCAACAAAACAACATGAACATCCCACAAACAACTTCAATTAACAGAACACAAAGTACATACTTCCTCTGTCCCGAATTTCAACTTCGTTATCACATTATTAGTTCAAATCACACTATCAATGCAACTATTAATATGGACGAAACGGGGTCATTTAGATTTTTCACTTAATCATCATAAACCCATCTCAATATATGAATTGGGGTTCTCAAAATAATTGAAATTACAATTCATAAATAGAGTAATTGCACTAAAACAAGGAAAAATTCACACCAAGTAATGATAAATTAGCAAAGAAGACTCAAAATAATTCATAATCAATCATATTATAGAAAATATTGGGGCAAAAAATCACTTACCTTAACATGACATGCCGCGAATTCGGATAAAACAGAGAATCAAAATGAAGTTTTTGACAAATAATAAAATCAAAAATTCAGAAATTTTGTGAGACGGTGGGAAGTGGAAGATGGTTGAAGGACAGAGTGTGAAAGAGAGAGATGAGTGGTTTAGGGTTTAAGAGATAAAAGGATTTTTTAATTTTTTTTTTTTTTTAGTTTTTATTAAGATTCGAACCCTCAAACCACAATCTCACGTTCACAAATTCACAATTACTTAAACATTTGTCTACCATTTTCATTTTTATTTCTAAACTAGGTTAAAATCCCGTGCAATGCTTAAATATTTTTTACAATAATATTACAAAATTATAAAGTATATAAAAGATATTTAGAAATATTTCATTTGAGTATATATGGAATATGATTGTCAAAACTGGAAAGAAAATATCATAAGTTATAAATAATTTGCTTAAAGATTTTGCCACAAAAAAAAAAAAAAAAGCGAAAAAGGCGGGAAATTTTTTTACAAGGTAATCACAAGTGTCATGCAAAGATTTGCTTTTAGTATAGGTTAATAGATAAAATATTTAATATGAGTTATAAGTAAGTCCTCTCTTTCATGTGGGATTGGGATGAACAGCCCCAACAAACCTCCCTTCAGACTAAAGGTCACATAACTCATATCGAAAGATCACATATTTGACAGAGCGACCCACACACATAACACCCGTGTCTATCGCAGATGAACCATTGGCTTTGATATATCACTTGTTGCGCTCAGAACACCCATCTTATTGGGCCACAAGCACACTCCATTCCACATTAGTATGATATTGTTTGCTTTGGGCTTAGGCGTAGCCCGCACAAATTTTTTTTTGGACACATTCTCTAAAAATCTCATACTAATTAGAGTGTGCACTCACTTATAAAGAAATCCTCTCTTCCTTATTTCTTTCATGTGAGACTTGGGATGAACGACCTCAACACTTAGGGCATGTTCTGTTCAGCTTCAGTTCAGTTCAGTTTAGCTCCAATCAGTTTACTTCGGTTCAGTTTCTAATTTCCTTCTTTCATAAACCATTCATTTCAGCTCTATTCACAGTTCAGTTCATCAGTTCAGTTTAGTTCAGCCCCAATCAATTCAGTTCAGTTCAGGAACATGCCCTTAGAAGAGCTCAACTATATTAATTAAAAATTGAAACTTGTCCCTACTAATAGAATGCAACAATAATATAATTACTGTGGTAAAATTATATAAGTTAAACAATTTATACATTATCTTATAACAAATATCAACTAATCATATGATGATTAAGTTTGTTCATATTTCTCTTTCAATCACCAAAGAGAGGTTGATATATTTAACTAGTATCTAAAATCATTAAAAATCAAGTCAAACACCGTACCAAATTACAGATTAATTCCCTAAAAATATTAATTAAAGGAACTAACTAAGAAAAACCAAAAACTTCAACTAGACGTGCAACCATGCACGCTAAGGGTGTTTATTTTGGTCAAGACCATATATATTTGTTTAGTTGTTTACATACAACTATATTCCCTTAAATTTTTTCACAAATATAAAAAAAGAAAGAAAGAAATCCCCTTATCTATCTATACGTATAAGTAGTTAGCTAGATAGCTAATTCTAAACTAAACGTGACAAAGATCAATAATCATAATCCATATATTTATCATCAAAAATGTCTTTCACCAAGCTTGGCCAACAAACAATTTCATCAAAACGGAGACTCTTGACTCTAATTCTTCTCTTTGTTATCTCCTTCCCACTTCTCTTCCTTAGTACGGCGTTCTTCCCTAATCCTCAACTTGTCGATGTCATCCATCTTCAAACACAGTCTCAGACTCAGACTCAGACTCAGTCCTCCGTCTTATATCCAAATAAGGTCATACCACCTAAATGGCTCAAGGTCATTCTTGAGACTCACTTAACACCTTATGAAACTCTTAAGGTGGGTTTGGTCAACTTTGAGGATCTAGACCGATCTCACCTGAATCTAGATGGGGCTGCAAAGTATGTACACATAAATATTGATCCCGTTTCATCTAATATCACTTGGGAAAAACTCTTTCCAGAGTGGATAGATGAGACAAATCCTCAAGGTTGGTGCCCAGAGATCCCCATGCCAAAGCTGGGGAAGTACTCTGGGCTCGACGTGGTAGTGGCTCAATTGCCATGCAAGGAGGAAAGGGTAGAGATTGAAAGTAATGGAAATCATAGGAAAGCGGGAACAAGAGATGTGGATAGGCTACAAATAAGCTTGGCAACTGCTCATCTTATTGTTGAGAATGGGATTAATAGCCAAGAGAAGGATATTTACGCGGTGTTTATTGCAAATTGTGACCCCATGTTGGAGCTTTTTAGGTGTGATGATTTGTTATGGCATGGAGGGGAATATTGGGTGTATAAGCCTAACATAGAGAAGTTGAAGGAGATGGTTAAAATGCCTGTAGGAAGTTGTGCCCTTGCCCATTCTAATGCTAGAAACCCAGGTAATATATTTGGTCATGCTATTATTTCTTGGTGAATTGCTGGTATTACATTTTCGTTACATGCATATCATGAATGCATGTTTATTCTTTGTTCGTTATTGTTAAATTAGGGTAAATACATTTTCATGATTGGAAATTTTTAAATCTTGTGGCTAATCCATCCTTTAGCAAAAATAAGTTGCTCGATCACTTTTTTCTTCTTAAATGTTGGGAAACAATAGTTTTGACTATTGACTTCTTCTTATATACTTAACATATTTGGTATTTATAATCATATGAAAGCGAATACTCTTATACTATTCTCCAAAATAAGAATTCAAGTTAATGGTCAATTGTAAGTGAGAGTGAGGGATAACTCAAGTGGTTAGAAATTCTCTCCTGATTTCAAGTGATCTCGGGATCGATTCGCATCACTCGCCCTTGTGGCTCTCTTAAAACACAAAAAAAAAAAAAAGGGGGTCAATCATTGCAAGTGTCGTAATTTTGAGGAGTATTGGGTGATTGTAAAATAACTTATAGCAATATACTTCACTTGTTCCTTTGGATTACACTAATGGCCTAGTGAGTGAAAGTGTTGCTTTAATTTACATGCTGACTTACACTATACTACTACCTCCGTTTTATTTAGTTGACACATATTCCTTTTTAGGAAGTTTATTTTTAGTTGACACGTTTTCTTTTTAGGTAAGTTTTATACTTTACGTTTACTAGTCTACCCTATTTCCGGGCTTTATCATTCTCTCTCCTCTCCTTAATATGTGTGCTTAAATTAAGCGCTTCAACTAAATAGAAACGGAAGAAATATAAAGGAAGGAAGAAAATAAAGGGTATAAAAATAATTAATGTAACTGTATACGTGCAAGAATATTTATTGTTTAGATGAATGTAAGCATAGGGCGGCCAAAATTCATTAACAAACATAAAAGAGAAAGCAAGAGCAACAAACTCATATAAAAATAGATGAAAAATAATAGAAAATGTGACAAACTTAAAGGGAACTATGGGATTAAGTGATCCAACAACACAATATCTAATCTTGATTACCCTCTATTTACCAACAAATGACACACATAGTCATCAATCCCTCAATATTGACATTTATTAAGTCAACAAGTCTCTTAGGAACTCTTTCCATCTATCCAAAATTAACTCTCATCGTAAAACCCTTTCTCGATCTACTTGTCATAATCAAGAATATGATATGATAGTACTAAATATATATATTTTTATTATTTACAGTTTTGCCATTTTAATAGTCACCCTTATTTAATTTGAGTTGTAACGTTCCAATTATAAGCCATTTATTATTACTTGTAGTGAACGCAACAACATTTATCAGACATCAAATCATTAATTTATAATAAAAGATAAATTTCAACAAAAACAGTTAAGGAGAGATACAGTAAAAATAATACAACAATAAGGGATGGAATTAGTCTTATATATAATAAGTTGATCTTGACAATTAGACAAAGAGATACTTAGTACAAGTATATTTTTTACATAACAATGGTTAAGATGTTATTTTCTATATAACATCATTCTACATCTAATAATACATATATTAAGACTATATTTGTAAATTTATCCACATAATTTGTCTTACAATGAAGGTTAATGTATTGGTTTAATTTTGTTCATATCATAGATAGGTAGGTGATGCACGTTATATTAAATTCAATTTTTGCTTAAAAGTCAACTTCTCAACTATAGTAAAAAAAAAAACATAGTAAATTGTAAAAAATTAAATTAAAACCTTACAAAACATGACACTACAATTCAATAAATTACACACAATATTCTCTTTTCTAAGATTTATCAAATTGATTTGTTATTATTGCTAATTAACATCCACAGGTAGTAGACAATTGCAAGCCTTCGCAAATGAATTACCTAATGAGCTTCAAGCTTTAGAAAGATCACCAAGAGAAGCCTATGTCACGGTCCTTCACTCGTCCGAAGACTACGTGTGTGGAGCCATAGCTCTAGCTCAAAGCATCCTCCAGACGAACACCACTAAGGACCTAATCCTCCTGGCAGACCGCACCATTTCACGTAGTTCTATCTTAGGCCTACAAGCCGCGGGTTGGAAGATAAAACGAATTGATCGAATCAAGAGTCCTAATGCCAAGATAAATGCCTATAACGAGTGGAACTATAGCAAGCTAAGGATATGGCAATTGATCGAGTATGACAAACTCATCTTCATTGACTCCGATTTCATAGTGTTACGCAACATTGACCATTTATTCGGCTACCCACAGCTCTCAGCTGCACCTAACGACAAATGGCTCTTTAACTCGGGGATCATGGTCCTAGAACCATCTAAGTGCTTTTTTGACAATCTTATGAGCAAACGTTACACCTTCAAGTCTTACAATGGCGGGGACCAAGGATATTTAAACGAGGTCATAACTTGGTGGCACAGGCTAACACTAAAATTAAACTTCTTAAAGTTTTTCGACAAAGAAGGCGGTGAGCGACTAGTCCCTGAGGATCGATACACGGTCCATTTCCTAGGGACAAAGCCATGGTTATGTTATAGAGATTATGATTGTAATTGGGATAGAGAGGATTATCACGTGTTTGCAAGTGATCATGCACATGCAAAGTGGTGGCAAGTGTACGATTCAATGCCAAAGAAGTTGCACAAATATTGTAAGATGACAAGGAAACAAGATAAAGGGGTTCGCAATAGAAAATCAAGGGCTCGAAAGGCTAAACTTTCTGATGGGCATTGGAAGATTGAGCTTAAGGATCCTAGACAATATAATTTGGTGGGCTAAAAAGCAACATCATAGTTTTATTATTAGTTAGTTTTAGTTTATTATTCATTTATATTTAGATTTTTACTATATTTTTTTCCCTTCACAAACAATTCATATAAACCTTGAATTGTTCGCCAAACAAGAAATATGGTGGGTTGGGGGGAATGATTTTTTCACGCATTCGTGAGAGCACACATCGAAACTACAATCTTTACACGAGGGGTACAAAAAGATCGAATTATAAAGAGTATATACTTCATATTTATACATAGATTGAGGATTGGAAGGATTTGAAAATTGTTCATGTTTTGAAATGCTATGGTTAGATACGATGAACTCTTGGTACTTTGTATTTTTTTCTCAAGATTACTTGTGAATAACATATGTCATATGGCCACATGTTTCAAAACTTCTCATCAATAGGTAACACAAATGTGCTAATAACTCACTAAATTATAGTGTATGATTTATCTGAAAACTATTCGTATCAAGCTATCAGCTCAAACACAATAACCAACAATTTCATACACAAGCATACAACGAACACCATCTTAACAAATTAAATTACATTCACATGATTATATATGCAATACAATTGTTGAATTAATTAGCGGGTAAGTACCCTCAATAAAAGCAATACCTTTGTTTAATTTACAATATGCACGACGCACGTGCAACCATGCATGCAGATTCACCCTATAACAAACTAACTTAATTACATTTGTACACACCAAACTTTTATTCCACACTCACAAAAATGTCCATCGACTAAACAATTCACATACACTTGATTAGCTAGCTAACGATCCCAAACTAATACAAAAGAAAACAATTGATACAAGCATCATGTAAGCCATAATTTCTTAGAATATGGGTGCTTTCACAAAGCCTGCTGGCTTACAATTACCTTCTTCCATTTGCACCACTTCATCAAGTCGACGACTTGTAACATATCGTCTTGTCTTATTGATCTTCATCTCTTTCCCTTTACTCCTCCTAAATGTGTTCCTCCCCCATCCTCAACTCATTGATGTCATCTTCCTCCAGACACAATCTATAACTTCCTCCTTTCCCTCTCCAAGCAAGGTTAAACCACCAATTTGGTTGGAGGTCATTCTTAGGACTCATTTGAACCCTAAGGAGCCATTGAAGGTGGGTTTGGTCAACTTTAAGGATTCAGAACAATCCCACCTGCAACTAGACGGGATCATAGAGTATGTAACCATAGATTTTGAGTCTGTCTCCCCAAATGTCACTTGGAAGAAGATCTTTCCGGGGTGGATTAATGAGATGAACCCTAAAGAAGGAAGGTGTCCGAAGACTATCCCCATGCCAGAGACTGGGAAGTATCTAGAATTAGATGTGGTGGTGGCATGTTTACCTTGTAGAAATGATCTAGTGAAGAAGGGGAAACTTAGTCATTGGGAGGAGGGGATTAGAGATGTTCGTAGGTTGCAAGTTAGCCTAGCTAGTGCTCGAGTGGTAGTTGATCAAAATCATGGGATTAACAAAGGCAATAATGATGTTTATGCTGTGTTTATCACAAAATGTGAACCGATGGTAGAGATATTTAGATGTGATGATTTAATATGGCATAGAGGGGAGTATTGGGTATACAAGCCTAAGGTTGAGAAGTTGAAAGAGGTGGTTAGCATGCCTATAGGAAGTTGTGCCCTTGCTCGTCCTTATGCTAGGGCTCAAGGTAATTAATATGTTTAATTATTCCACTAATTGTGTACTTTGTTGTGTGTTCTTATTTTGGTTTAGGTGGAATGCTAGGTTACATTTTGGTATAACTAACTTATGAACTTGTTTTTGGTTAGATTTTGGATAATAGTGATTTAAATGAAATTCATTATGAAAAATAATGCTTCATTTATAAATCATGATGATATGCCTAGCTACATACTAATAATATATATTCATTTATTGATTTATACATGGTCATTCCATCGTGGATGATAATAATACTATGCCACCCTAAATAATTTAGGGGACGGTGTAGATAAGATGTAGTTAAGCATGCATCACAAATTCACAATTATAACCTAATTATATATAAGAACAACCACAATTTAATTGATTGAGTAGAACAGTACGTAACTAAATTTATACACCAAGTATACTCAAACTATCTAGAGTAAATCAAAATTTAGCTAGAATAAATTTGCGTTTTGATATACTACTACATGACACAGGTAGTACGCATCTGCAAAATATTGATCAATTGTCAAAAGAGCTGCAAATGACAAGTCCACCAAGTACCAACAAGCCAAGACATGCCTATGTAACGGTTCTTCACTCGTCCGAATTTTATGTATGTGGAGCCATAGCTCTAGCACAAAGCATCCTTCAAACTAACACCACCAAAGACCTAGTCCTCCTTGCGGACCACACCATCTCTAAGCATTCCATACAAGGCCTCCAAGCCGCAGGTTGGAAGGTAAGGCAAATTGACCGTATAAGGAGTCCTAACTCCAAGGTTGATTCCTACAATGAGTGGAACTATAGCAAGCTTAGGTGTGGCAATTGACCGAGTATGACAAAGTTATGTTCATTGACTCTGACTTCATTGTGCTTCATAGCATTGACCGTTTCTTTGACTACCCTCAGCTTTCAGCTGCACCTAATAATAAATGGCTTTTTAACTCGGGGATCATGCTCCTAGAGCCATCCGAGTGCTTTTTTGACTATCTTATGAGCAAACGTTACACTTTGAAGTCTTACAATGGTGGAGACCAAGGGTATTTAAATGAGATCATAACTTGGTGGCATAGGCTAACAGTGAAATTGAATTTCATGAAGTATTTTCCTAAGGAACTTGGTGATGAGTCGCGATTCATTCCTAAGGATCAACACACCATCCACTTCTTAGGGATGAAGCCATGGTCATGTTATAGAGATTATGATTGTAATTGGCATAGAGAGGAATATCACAATTTTGCAAGTGATGAGGTGAATGCGAGGTGGTGGCAAGTGTATGATGAAATGCCAAAAGAGTTGCAATACTATTGTAGAATGTCCGAAGAAGCTGATGCAAAACTCCGCGAATTTAAAGCCCTCGCTGAACAGGAAAAGCTCAAAGATGAGCATTGGAGGATTGAAATTAAGGATCCTAGGCAGTACAATTTAGTAAATTACGTTTAAATGGAAAATCTTGAATGAGGGATTGAAAGATGGGCATTAGTCCTACACTCCTACCTAACAGAGACACGTGCGTATTAATTATAATCGTTAAATTATGAATAATGCACTATAGATACTTTTAATTATACTTTGTGTATGAACTTTCTTTATGTATAGAAAATTATAGATATTCAAATCATTTTTATTGTGTTTTTTTTTTTTTGTTTGTTTTTGGTTAATTATTAGCCGAGACATACTTCCTCCCTCTTATGTTACTCAACCTCTTATATTTATCACATTTGCTAATGCATCATTTTAACTATCAGTATTAAAACTGATATAAACAAGATCTATGTTTATGTTTTCATAAAGTGTTAGAATTTCATTAAGCACAGAGTGTAAAAAGAAATGAATGAAGTATTATATAAGCTGAAGGGCAGTATACATCTCTAGAAAGGAACTGAAAGAATCAACACAATATTATCAACTTGGACATTGAGAAAATATCAATAATAGAAACATAAGATAATGTTTCATGAGAACTTAAGAATCATACACTAATTTGCAACTCCAACAACAGTTTTAGTTGTAGAAAATCTCATTGGCATCATCATCAATGGAGGAGGCCTCTGTTTCACTCCATTCATCATCATCATCCCATCATGACTACTATTCATTGAAATCCTTCTTCCCTTCAATGGAGAAACGAATCGATTCACCAACCTCGAAGGGGATAGCGATCTCCTTAGCTTTGACGCCATTGAAGAAGCCGGTTTCGGAGGCGATTTCCTACCAAAAGATGCAGTCTTTGAAACAGGGGAAACAGAGGTGAAACTCTTTTGTGGGCTTTTGATTTTCACAGGGGATTTAACCAAAAATTTATGAGGAGTTTCTCTCTTTTTCGCAATTAATGGAGATTTGGTCTTGCTAATTTGTGAAGTGGGTGATGATGAATGAAACAGAGGATTTGGGAAAAGAACAGTTTTTTTAGCCCAAGGTTTATGTTTTGGTGATACCCTGTTTGCCACATTATATCTCATGCTACTCTGTTTTGGTGATACCCTGTTTCCTCTATCGATTTCGGGTCTTTTCTCCGGCGAAACCCTGAAATTGATCCTCGATCGAGCTCTTCGAACAGATGGGGTGCTCGATTCTGCTCGAATGATACGGAATTGATGCTGTTTTTCTCTCTTCCTTCGAGTTTCGAGGGGTGTCTTTTCGGAGTTCGGTCTTTGTTTCCGAGGCACAGGTGTTTTTGGATCATCAATGTTGGAATTTCTCATGATTTCTCTTGTTACTTTACTTGATTCTAGGATTTCTGCTACTGTTTCTCCTACTAACATTGCTGATAATGACATTCTTTTCCATTCCCCTGTAATTAATTTTATCAAATTTGTCTTAATTTATCATCAAATTTATCCCAACAAAATCAAAGATAATCAACAAATTAAGTGATGATGCTAATTATTCACCTGAAACATTTGCTTGTAATTTCCCAGTTGGAGATTTCTTTGATCCATTATTTCTAATTCTGCAAAAATCACAAAAGCCCTAATCAAAATTTATATAACAATGTACAAATCCGACCAAATTTACCCCTAAAGTAATAAATTTTCCTATAATTTTGAACCCTAAACAATGATTTAACAACGGCTCCAAACCCAAATATCAAAAGCAAATGATTAACTGTGCAGCGCTAATAGTATAATTTGAACTCGTAACGTGACAACTAAATCCGAAGAAATGCAAACCTGCAATTTACCTCATCGATTCCTGCTTGCATCTGAGACTAGTTTTTAAGTAAGCTTTAGTACTACGAGGGCTAAGTTTAACACCAGCAACAACTTTATTTCCTCCAGTAACTGTATATTGAAGCTCTTGCAATCTTTCCATACATTGATCCACCTATCCAAATCAAACACCAAAAAAATTAATTGATAAATCAAGAAATAATTAACCAAAATAAGAGAAAATTAAAATCAAAACAACCCACAAAATAAAAATTGATGGGTATTAAAATCAAATCAAAAAATTAATAATTGGACCAAAAAAATTGTACCTTTTTAACAGTTTCTCTGATTAGAGTAGGGCTTAATGGAGGAGCCACCATTATCTTCCTCTGTTTTGGTGGGGTTCTTGCCACCATTTTTCTTCCTCAAATAAAAGAAAAAAAAAACTTTTTAATTTTCAAAAATTTAAAAAAACTAAAAGTGATTTTTAAAGAAATTTGTTTATCTCTCTAGAAATTAAAAGTGGGGAAAAGTCAAATTGGAGCTACAAAAATGAGCTGATGATGAGGGAGAAAGTTGAAAGAAATTGGGGGGTTTTGGGTAGAAGAGTAACGGCTTCTTTTTCTTTTGGGTTCCAACGGTCGAATTTATCTTTGGCTAATTTTAAATTAGATTTATTTTTGGGAGTTGGGTGTTACGGAGTAATAACTTTAAACAAGAAACTAAAAATTAGGAGTGGTCCTAGTGGACACAATCGTAGCCGTCAATTTTGCATCTGTGAGGCGCAATGTCAAATTGTCAAGCTAATCTAACAGTCACCAAGCTTTTATAGTACTTGAGTATTTTAGTCAAAATAATTTTCAACTTATTTAATATGTATTTATTTACTTGTATATTGATGAATCTTAAATGTTAAATAGTGAAATCTAGATGTATATTTGGCAAACAAAAGGAATATGTACATCAGCAATAATATTATGCCAACTAAGCAGATCCATCCCACTAAATACAAGGGGGAAGCTAAAATATTGGGTAAGAAAGCCAGGCAAAAACTTTTGGTCATTTACTTGGTGAGAGAGGGTTTGAGAGAAATATATTTGGTTGAGTGTCATCTTTTATCACTAAGTTTAGATGAACAACAAGTTTAATGTGCATCACCTTCTACTCCAAATATGTTCAACCAATCAAAGTAGAAGAGAAGAAGTTTTACATAGAAAGTTTGATTGAATGTTTCAAGACGTAGAATAACATCATCAGATTAACTAATGCACCAAAAGACATCTAATTTATCAAAACAAAATTACTAATATCATAAACTATACAAGCAAATAGTGGAGATAAAACTGTATATGCAAACCGTTAAAATGTATGAGAAAATCGTGGGTTGTCAACGACTTTGTTTCAAGTTGACCCAACATTTTAACTCAATAATTTCTTAACAAACAATATTTTATTCATGTTGAAGAACTATTGTGAATTTAGGGTATTAGAAGTACACTCTTAATTAATTGTTCCACCTTTAATTAAACTAGTATTTCAACAAACAGATGTTCAAATGCAATGTTTTAGGAGTAATTTTGCAATCAAATGGTTAAAATATACTTTTGTACCTCCGACATAACATTCTAATCAAACAATGTAAGCCTATAACAAATAGTCCAGCAATTGGACAACAGTAATTTTAGGGAGATAAGCATTCTCTCTTCCCATCGATACAAACTCAATTTTAGGCCACCAAATAAGAGGAGATTTTTTGGGAAAATCCTTACAGGTACTCCTTTTTTTTTTTTTGGGACAAAGTGCAAAAAGAGGGTCACCCTCCAACCGACTTGACACTATAACTAATACAATGAAAATCAGCCATTAGTTCTTTGGAAATTTTTGGTAACCATTAGTTCTTTGGAAATTTTCATTATTACATAGTATTATTTTATCCACAAACAACAACCCACATGTAAGCCTTAAAAATTGACATGAATTAATTTCTTTAGCATATAATACTGTACTAAACATTCTGAACTTAACAAATTGTAAGACAGGAAAATTAATCAAAACATCACAATGATGATGTTACAACAAAAGTATAAAAATACTATGCATATTTGAGCCTACTGATTTGGAAGACCCAAGAATATATGTAGGTGACGAATTGCAGTTAACAAAGAGAAAATAAATGCATATTTTCACATCATACTATAGACTTCCGGAAATTTTTCAACCCTCGCAACTTCAAAGGACTCCAAACAACTGGCTTTTTCTGCAGGGCAACCACGGTAGGGTGCTTTGGCCTCCACGAACCCTGTTGAGGAGGGCTTGCCATAAACCTCCTACTGCTCATAGGTGTTGCTGCTTCCACAGAGGAACTAGCTACGGCTCTTGTCTCTGGCAGAGGAGAAAACACCTTTGAAAACCGCCTTACCCTTGATGCCTCCCTGAAAAATGAGGGCCCTGGTAATGCACTCTCGCGTTTTGACTTACTAAGAGGTGTTTCATGGTAATTTGACTCAGGACGGAGTGTTGCTATGGAGACCCTTCTTCTGGGCTGCATAGGTTGTGCCATAGTTTCGGTTGATGGTCTCACTGCGACAGAGATCCTTCGTGGCCCCCTCATGGCTCTTGTATTTGATCCATTCGAAGTGTTTTCTTTACCATCGTATGAACTTGAGAAACGAGAAGAGAAAGTAGAAGTCTTCTTGGCTTGGACAGGTGATGGTTGGGGCATGTAATTGGATATCTTTCGCAATGGCATCCTTGCATTTGAAGGACCTAGCGGAGGCTTCTTCTCTGTTGTGGTTCTTTGTGCCTGTCTTGGTTGCCTGATAGAAGCAGCAGCTCTATTTTCCTGTTTCTGTCTAGTTTTCCTCTCCTCCGCCAGTTGATTTTCAAGATCCCGCACCTGTTGAGATATTTTTCTTAAGAAAAATGCTTGGTGTGGAATACATATCACGCATATCAATGGTATAAGAAAGTACCTTCTCCTGAAGACTTCTGCAGATATGCTCTCTGGCAGAAAGCCTTAACTGCAAAGATTGCACACTATCCTGCAGTTTCTTTGTCTCTTTATCATCATGCTTTAACTTCTCAGCCTGTTAAAAAAGGACTACAAGCATAAGCTGCATGCAAAACTGAACAACATTATCAAGCTAAATAACTGCCCAAAAACATACCAGATGCTTATACTTGAGGAGCTCAGAGATATCTGCTTGTTTGCGGGCTGGACCATATTCAATTCCCTTGACTCGACTAGCAAAGTTCAGGGAGCATAGAGTCTCACCCAGGTCTGCAGCACTAGGACTAATTTGGACGAACATCAGGGTCTTGCAATCACCTCCTGCAATGCCATTGAATAATGGAGATGGGTAAGATGAGATAAGTAAGCCATAACTCAGTTCAATAAGGCTTCACTGCTATATACTTCTTCAGAGATAGGCTAAGTTTCATTATCTTACCTAAAGAGCTCTGCAACATGTGGGTGAGTTTTGAGTTTCTGAAAGGTAACAACAATTAAGTTAAGATGATGAAGTTCAAAAATATGCTGAATGTCTTGAAAAATTTGCATATAGAAACATTTACTCGACCTGTATGGAACGTGGTTTGTTTTAGTTGCAAGAGCAGAGATGACATCACCAAGAGCTGAGAGGGATTTATTGATGAACTGAGATTCCTTCAGTCTTTCACCCTCAACTTCAATTCTTCCAACACGCTCACTTCCAGCCAAATCCACCAACCAAAGGTTGCTCTTTGTCCTTTGTCCATTCATTAAGTTTTCCCCTTTCACAGTAATCCGCAGCAAGCTACAAGCATGGCCAAATTAATTATTTTCACAATAACGGCTGCTCCAATATTTCTACCATCATTGCATTATTTAATGTAGTTGCAGGAGTCCATTATATAACATTCAGAGCGTGAAGACAGACATATACAACATTGCAGACAATAACAGGTAGCATTCAATTATATCAGAGAAAAATTACCAATGGGAACGGCTACTGAATTCATTAGCATTGGTTGATCCAACAGATCTCACTCGGCTCCCAGTCTTGAGTAATTCCCATACTTCATCTGTACCATAAACATGAGCTTCAACTAGCCCAGGAATTTCTTGTGTTCCTTCTGGAGCTTGTTTTATTTCCAACCTGAGTAAACAAAATGCAACACTTAAGGCATGTTTGGATTGCGGGAGATGTATTACTAGGGTAATAAAAGTCAAACTAAGCAAAATGAAAGTGAAAATAGGGAAGGAGGAGATAGTGATGGTGTGCTTATAAGGAAAATTATGCAGTGAAGGTGTGGTATGAGGTGAAGAAAGAAGAACTAATACCTTATTTTGGGGGTAATAGTTACACTAGGGGGAGGGTGGCTAACTATTACCCTCATTATGAGGGTAATAATTCCTCCATCTCTCTCTTTTCCTCATGGCACAATTACTTCATTTCATTTGTAAACACCATACCTCCTACAACAACACCTCTATATACTTATATTTTTTCAAGTTTGACTTTTATTACCCCCTTAATATATTACCCCCAATCCAAGCAAGGCCTTAGACATTCTAAACCCTATACAAGTGAGCCTTCCATACTAAGACATTTGCATGACAAAATCAACAGCTTCCATTTTACAGCTGATCTAACAAAGGAATAGAAAGGCCAAAATGCAAGGACGAACATTAAAGATGATGAACTGATCATAAGTCAGAACTCAAGGTAACAAAAAGTCAACAACTGCCTAGCCAGTCTTTAGATACTCTACTAAAATTTCTGTAGTTCTTTAAAAAATTTCTGCATAAGTAGTGGTGAAGCCTTTTATTGATCACTTAAGCATGTAAGACCAAAGGCCAAAGGAGAAAAGTGACAGAAGTGACAATTCCAGAATTAAGCATGAACACCTTTTCTGAGGATATTTGGAACCTGGCTTCGATTGTTGTAAGCCACCCCTAAGGAAGAATTTTTACTTAACAGTATTCAACTTTCTGTTTTAAGAATCACTTACTTCTTAGGTGGTTCACTGGTGTTCTCCACCAACAGGTCCCTTATTTTTTCATTGTAGACCTCCAACATGCTGACAAATAGTTCATATTTCACAGTACTGCTTCTCAGATTAGCAATCCTAAATAACTCCTCCAAAGTTCTATAGTTAACCCCTCTATTCTCTGGTGTCCCTTCCATGGTAAAGGTCTTTCCAGTTCCAGTTTGTCCATAGGCAAATATGCACACGTTGTAGCCATCCAAAACAGAAGTGACAATTGGAGAAGTTTCTGCAAAGACCTCCTCTGCAAAGTCAAAAATCAATGTCAATGAAACACCAAAGAAGTGTAATTGCGCTCCCTGAAGTTAAATTCACTATTAAAAGGGCAATCAAAGCGATCAGGTACCTTGGTCAGCTTGGGGCCCAAATACATGGTCAAACTTGAATTGTTTCTTTGAAGAATCAGCACAAGTTATATTCAATTCATGGTCCTGGGAAGGAGGAATTTCAACAACAGAAGTCGACCCACTTGCCCTTTCATCTTGGTTCAATGGTCTGCATCTACAAAAGACCCTAATATTGCCTTTCAGCTCAATTACTTCATTGTACAGCCTCTTCCTTTCAGCATATTCTTCAATGTACTTTTTCTTTAGAAGCTCAGACTCTTCCATGTACTTGTTCTTCAAAAGCTCATGCTCCTCACCTAATAACAACAGTTCAAACCCATTAAAAAGTTAACCAGCAGAAAAAAAAAAAAAAGAAAAAAAGAAAAAAAAAAATCAGATACTTGACAAATTGAAGTATGAGATAAAAAGAGCAACATACTTAAGTGCTGAAGTGTATTCAGAACTTCAAAGCCGGGAAATTGATTGCTCGTTATCTCCTTTACCTCGACTGATAGAGATGTATGCTCCTTCCTCAAAGTCTATAACAATCACACAATAAGGTTCCCATCTTATGCAAGATAAACAACAACAATAATCATATTGAAATTCACCTGAATTTTGTTACTTAGATCATTGATTTTCCTTAGTATTGGAAGCTTAGGCTCTTCATCAACTGAAACTGCTTGGGATTCGTTCGAATATTGACTTGCATCAGTAGAATTCGTATTTTCCTCCACTCTATCTGAAAGTTCAAGATATCTTTCTACACTCAGTGCTATAATACATAATTCTGAACAATTAACAAATTTTCAAGCAAATTTATGAAACCAACAAATTTAACAACAAATTAACAGCCATTGCACGAAAAAAGAGCAAATTTATTTCCTAAATTATTCTTAAATGATTTCATAACTAACCAAACAATAGAGAATTTTTCATTTCCGGTGAAATGAGATGTCCTAATTAAGACCCTAATATCAAATGTTTCGGGAATGAAGAAGATAATAAGTGCAATCCAAGAATCAAACATCATCACATCCGAAACCCTAAATGATCAAGAAATCTTTAAACCCAATTTCTTCAACTAACAAACACTCGCTAAGTTCAAGAATTTCACGGTAAACCTAGGGTTTTACTCGAGTAACAAAATTGAAATCAACAACAAAAATACTAAAAAAAATCATACAAAAGAAGACTAAAATTAAAACATAAGTAAAGAATCTTGAATTGTTACCGTTTTGAGCATGTGGTGTTGCATTTGCTGACTCCATAAATGAGTTTGCGTCGCCATTTTCTCGAACGATTTCTACAGTTTGATCTGCCAATAAAAATGAAAATAAAGTGAAATTCGAATTATTTTAGAAAAAATTCCGACGAAATTGAAAATTTAGAAAGATGAATTGATTAAATTCTACTCACCATCCATTTTTCCACAAATTAATTTTGCTGAAAAACAAGTAAATTGAAGAAATCTGGAGATGAAAATCAGGGATTTCAAGAGAATATGAGAGAGAAAGTGAGCTTGAAAGTTTGATTATAGAGAGAGAAAGAGAAGGAGTGATATTGAGAAGATGGCGAAATCTCAAACGGTCAGAAAAGTTGTAAATTTGAAGGAGGGAGTTTAATGTTTTGAAAAGGAGAATGAATTGGAGCCGTTTGATTACATTTAACGGCTACTTTTATGATTTCTGGAGCGTCTTGTTTCTCTTGGGTTGGGCTAATGATGTACTAGACCCGGTTGTAAATATGGGTTGGACTTTTGGGTTTTTTTTAAAATAAAGGTAAGAAAAATAATCATTCGAATATCCTTCTCACGAAAAGGAATTTTTAATGAATTTGAAGAAAAATATACGAATTACTTAGGAATTTTTCCTCACGAAGTCATGAGGGGAATTTCTAAATTGTATTGGAAACCCAATACTATTATATGGTTTCAATCTATTTTTTTATTTTATTTTTTATTTTTTTTTAAAACAATGGTATCTCATGTACAATACACGCTACGAAGTACAAGTATATTAATAACATTATATATTCATAATCTGGTAGATGACTTACTAATTGTTTTGAGAGATAGAAGTGAAATATATTAAACACTATTAGCATGTGTTCAAATTCAAAAGAACTCTAAATTAGTAAATTACCCCAAAAAAGAAGTAACTTTAATCGATAAATCTATAAACATATTGGTCAAACTATACTTAAATATCAACTCAATTAATAAATCTAACTCTAGAACTTAACAAGTCATATTAGCGAAAGCTAGACATAGGTCGAGCCATGTAAGTCCATGTGTCATGCTAGCTTACTTCATACTTAAGATTTGTGTCATATAAGGACTAAAAATGAAGTGTTATGACCCAGTAGTGTAGCTCTCGAGCCACTTCAGGCTTGTGGCAAGCTCGCATGTAGTCGGGCCATTTTCATGCCAGTGTGGCTCATGCACAACTCTAATCCAAGCCAGTAAAACAATTAAAAGCAGACGTCTCCTTTATCAATGATATTTTCTGGTAATGTAGTTAGGATAAGCAGAATCTGACAGAACAAAATCAATGGCCAGTTCTTCACAACCAAGCTTGTTGAGCTACCACCATACTTGCTGCTCTTCTTCCTCTAATTCCAACTCCACTCGTTTTCCTTCTTCATTTTCTCTCTCCTCTCTTCATGGATCCACCAGAACTCAATTTCCCAGAAATCTTTCACTCTCTTTAACTAAAATTCATGCTAAATTTGAGAAATTTGAGGGCAGTGAAGATAATCCAGTACAGTTGCAGCAAGAAGAAGTCCAAGAAATTGAAGAATTCCCTGATCAAGAAATAAAAGAAGAAGATGATGAGTGAGATTCTATATATACTGATTTTCTGATTGTTTGTTTTGTTGCTATTGGAAATTTTGATCTTGTAAAAAAATAAAAAAAAAATAAAAAATAAAAAATTGGAAGAGGTGTGAAATAGGGGGAAATTGGGCGTGATGTGAAATACTCGAACGTAATTAAAGATATTATTGATCAAAATTATATCTTCGTGAAATATTGAATGGGTAAAACTTAAGTAACAAGGTTGTAGTTTGTTTTACTTTGATGAAAATTTCATCTTACCTTTTCATTGGCGAAATTGAAATGATCAGTTTTTTTGTACAGTTTTTTTTTTTTTTTTTTTTCCCTATTGGTTTAATTTTCATGCTTGAAATTGAGGGATTATATTATGGAGTTTCATGTCTGAATTTAGATTAAGCACTTGATTAATGCTGTAATTTGTGTTAAATGGGATGAGTAGATATTATGCCAATATGTTCAGTACATGATTGTTTAATTACTAGTATAAGTATAATCCTCGGCCTAATTGGCATATTTTCTGTTCATAGCTGAAGTGTATTGATGGCCATGTAATTAAAATTATTTGACAGTTGCCTGCCTTCTGACTTGGAGGGTGCAGTTCGACAATCCGGTCAAGCTAGTGCTTCATTCGTGGATTCTGGTGGAACAAGGGCCATTGTAGGTGCTTCAGTATTAGAAAAGAGTTGTTGCCTTTTCAATTAGTTATAGTTCTTGATTAAATTTCCTGATATTCCCTTTTTTAAAAATAGTTAAGGAGGGGATTAAAAATTGTTGAGGGTGCTTTGGGAAATCATGTCATATGCTTAATTGTGAGAAATCAAGAATGTGACAATTTATTTCTGTACAATAGAGTAATTAAAAACTAAAAAGTAGTCTGAATGTCCTGCAACAAAAAAGGTCCTCTTTCAGATAGTTCAGATCCAACTCCTAATTAGTCCTATTTACAAAAACGAGTGGTTTAGTAAAGAAAGAACGATTTATATTCTGAATAACAGGAGCTAAGAGCTTACATGTACTTTTAATTAGTAGATGAGTAGATCATCAGTTTCATCCATTGTTTCATCTTATACTTAGTAAATCCAATGATTGAAACTGAGAATAAGAAATGGCTTTGTTTTCGGATAGAGTGTGTAATTTTATGGTAGTCTGATGCTTATTTCTGGTAGATCATCAGTTTCCTTTTTGCCTTTGGCAGGTTGAGTTGTTAATACCTCAGCTGCAATTTTTGGATGATGAAGGCGCACAAGCTGAGCTATGGGAACTGTCAAGGGTTTTCATAGATACGCTTATTGAGGAAACAGGATGTCAGGTTAGTTAAAAGTATTAATCTATAGCTATCCAAAGCATAGAATAAGAATAATTATGCAAAATAAATTGTTCACTGGCATACTGAAATCTTGCACCTTGGAGTTGCTTGGCGGTGATCAACTGATTCTTTACCTCTTCTACATAACTAAGTTTTATATTTTGGATGAACAGAAAGTAAAAGCAATCTTTCCGGATACCGGAGCTGCTGCACTTCTGAAGTATCAATGGAAAGATGCTGCTTTTGGATTCTCTAGGTATAGCATGCTTTATCCTAATTGCTGGTCTCTGTCTTGTTGTATAGTATTTTTTGTTTCTTAGTAGTCTATGCTACCCTTTTCATGTTCATATTTCCTTGCAGCTTAAGTGATAGGAAGCCTGTAGAAGATGAAGATGAAATTGTTGTTATGGTGGTTCCTGATTATCAGATGTTGGAATATGTCCAGAAAATTGCTTCACTTCTCTCAGACGATCCGGTATTTACTTATGTTGGCTTACATTGTCTGTGTGAGATATAGTGTCCTTTTTTACTCGGTTTGCAATGCTAAGTCCGCCGTGCTCTTTTTTTCTTTTTTTAATTCCAAAAAACAGTTGTAATACTTGATGTTATGTGTTTGTTTTTACTTCTATCTGTTATTGATACAAAAGTCACTTTTTCTTTTGGATGTATAGAAATAAGATCGCATTTATAACAACAATATTTTACACTAGTACTTACTGAGAATATACTGGTAATGTCCCCTTTTATTCGTCATCAAAAGCATATACCGGAGTATCGTGACTTTGATGAATGCCGTATTCTGGAAACACAGGAGTCAGCATATCAGATTTACATTTCCAGCCTTTAACATTGGTTAAGTGTCTTGCTGGACTTGATTGAAAAGGGCTGCAGTCTGGACGCTCAACTTTGAATTACTTGCATGTTAAAATGAAGGGAACCTGGTAGTTTGATGATAATTGCAGTCAATAAGATAGACCCTTAATAAGAGCTATAAAGGAAAATTTAAACTGTTATTTTCGAATTTCAGAGTACGATACATTGTGCAATATTGGTTTTCCACTCATACCTGCATCTGTCTTATGAAATTCCTCATAACTCTGTTAGCCAAGACCTCTCATCATGTGGAATCCACGTCTTGTCAGTGAAGATGTGGGAGTTGGATTCAACGTTCGGAAGTTAAGACGCTACTTTCTGAGGTAAATTTACTTTTCTTCTCTGTCATCCTCAAATTTTTAGCTCATTTGACCAACACTACCAACCATACATAAAGATCAATCAAAATCACAGCTGTTTTATCAATTATCAGATTGAATCTTATAATCACTTGTGCTTCACATACTTCTCTTCCAGTTTATATAGAACTTGTCTGAAGAATGTACTCTTAGTCACTCTGGTTCAACCTTGTTTGCAAGTATTAAGTAATATCTGATATATGATGCAGAACATTCTCCGTGGTTTATTCGATGAGACCTTTCCCATCTGGCGCAGTGTTCAGGTGTTATCCTGGGTAAGTCCACAATTCCACAGTACCATTGTTGCATACTAGTTTGCTTTGTTACAAATTTAAACTCATTTTCTGCTAATTGTTTTGTTTTTACAGATTATGGAAGGTATTCTATGATGATAAGAATAGACCAGGCAGGTATCTGCTTGCAAAAGAACTAATTAGTCGTCCTGATGCTGAAGAACTAGAGGTCCGTTTCTGCCTATCACACGGTCCATAAATACCATGACATATCCTGATCCAGCAGCTTAAAGATGAGAATGATATACAAAAAATGAAATGAGAGACTCGAAAATGCTATTAGGTTTATAGTTGGGACATTCAGAGATAGTAATTCCAATTTCCAAGTGAAACGTATAAATTCAAGGCAATGTGCATATTATTTTCTGTTGAAGTGTGTTCTTTCTCAATTATATCTGCTTGTATCTAATGCAGTATATCTTTGGAAATGCACAAGAGAAAGAAGAAGAGGGACCGTCCTTGTTTGCTAGAGCAGCAGGCATATTCTCCTCGATGAATAGGTTCATGAGAGTCATATCAAAATAACCATCTTGGTTTTAAGGCATGCATCCAGACATTCCAGACTCTACTGCATCAGCAAAATTCCTTCCAATGCCTCAGTAAATCTGTAATTAACTGTCAGTGCCTTCCAAATGAGTGAAAACTTTTCTATATAATATGGGAGTTATATAAAATCTTAGCATAGTTATTCATTGTTAACTCTGAATGAGTTTCATTTGGTAATTATTGATGGCATAGACACCATCTCAGCCAATCCTTTGATATACATGGGCCTTGGCTGATGAGTGATGCACTTCACATGTATAATAAAAGCCATGCCCATAGTTAAAAACAAAAGGGCTAACCAAAACACAAAAGAATTGTTAATCCTAAGATAATGACATACCTATTATTTCGAATTTTCAAAATATACAAGGCTAATTGTTTAGAGGTTACATCGATTAAGATGATAAGTTGACAATGACAACTTTGATGTTTTATTACACTGCACCACTCAAACACTGCTACACATCTTTCAGTCGAGATAGACCTCACAGAGAACCTTGCACCAGCAATAACCACTTCTGAGAACAAGTTGCTTCCATGGACATTTACAAAACAGTAAGGCCGTCACAGTAATTCCAACCATTAAGTTTAATTCGTGGAGTAACTCCTGGAGGAGCCTCAAATGTCATCTTTATTGACATGATCTCACCAGGTACCAAAGAAAAATAGTTGTCAGAATAATGCACAGGAAGTATCCTTGTGTCTTCCGTGCCCTTGCTCTCTTTTTCTGAAGAATGAACTGAGAAATGCAAGAAGAAAGCAACCCCTGCATCAGCTCCATTGATTTCAACAACCCTCGACCTGTTACTTTCCCGGAGAAAACAACTGTTAATCTTCTGGAAAAAAATAGCTTGCAGTTTGTTTTCAGT